TTTTTTTAAAAAAAATTAACTATAAATAAATTTTTTAAAAAAGAACTGGGATGCAGGTCAGAGGAGCAGGAGGAGTGAAAGGATTAACCAGAGACAGAGTGGAGAGCAGAACAAATGGATCTATTGAAATATACTATTGAGGGGAGCAGTGGGCGTGGAAAGAGAGGTTTGCTGTGCCATGTGGGTCAGCCTCCTGATTGGGGATGGAACGCAGGCTATGGCATTCATAGCACTGAGACTTAACCTCTATACCACCAGGGAGGACTGTTCCCTTTGATTTTTAAAACATTGTGTTAAAGTGTTTATCTTGATAACTCCTAAATTTTACTCCTAAGTTACTGCAACCTAATGTCCTCTGTACTCCCCTCTTTTCTCCCTTCTCTCTGAATTTTTTAAGTTATCATTTGTAATTTTTTCTGATGGCTATTTATCACTTTAAGTCACTTTATGCCTTTCTCCACCTTTGACAATGTCTACTCTGTCCTGCAGGATGAAGAATTCACTAAAATTTTTATTATACAAAGATTAAAAATATTTTGCTCTGTTCTGTTAGGTTGTCCTAGTAGGACTTTTGTGTCAAGTCATTAATTTTTAACCTGATTTAACAATTCTTTAAATTCTTTAAAATTGGACTGCTACATGCAAAAGAATGAAACAGGCTACTGTCTCACACCATACACAAAACCAACTCAAAATGGATAAGACCCAAAACCATGAAATATATATAGGAAAATCTAGGCAAAACAGATATACATCTTTGAAATATCTTTGAAGACTCATCCTCAAGCAGAGAAAATGAAAGAAAAGATAAATAGCTTGGGTGAGGGGGTGACCTAGAAGTAACCTCTCAGTGCTACTGTGCCCCTGGCACTTCTGGCCTTACACCCCAGTTCTTCTATGCCCCCCCCAAAAAAAGATAGTGGGGGACTACATCAATTTAAAAAGCTTTTGTACAGCAAAACAGACAATAACCAAAACAAAGAGACACTCTACAGATGCGAGAAAATATCTGCACTCCATACAACTGAAAGGGACTTATATCAAAGATCTACAACTCAACAAAGTAAACAACCCAGTCAATAAATGGGCAGAAGAGCTAAAAAGACACTTCACCAAAAAGGAAATAAATACAAATGGCCAATAAGTATATGAGCAAAAAGTTTAACATCACTTATAATCAGGAAAATGCAAATCAAAACCACAATGAGACACCACCTTACATCAGTAAGAATGGCCCACATTAAAAAAAAACTGGCAAAAAATTGCTGGCGAGGTTGTGGAGAAAAAGAAGCCCTCTTACATTCTGGTGGGAATGCAAAGTAGTCGAACCACGAGGGAAAGCTGTGTGAAGGACCCCCAAAATATTAAAAAATGGATCTATCATATGACCCAGCAATTCTACTCTTAGCAGCCTACCCAAATGACACAAGAACATTAATTGGAAAGGAAACCTGCATGCCTATGTTTACTGCAGCATTATTTACAATAGCTAAGATATCAAACAACCTAAATATACCAAAACAGATGAGTGAATCAAGATGTGTTATACATACACAATGGACTACTACTCAGCAATCAAAAAGATAAATCTAGCTATTCACAAGTTGGATAGAGCTGGAAAAGGATAATGCTCAGTGAAATAAGTCAGAAGGAAAAAAATCTATAGGATAATATCACTTATAGGAGGAATATAGGGAAACTGAACGAAGGGTCACACACAAAAGACATAATGTGTAGGCAACTATAGATCTGAGACTTAAAGCCAGGGGAGGGGCAGGAAAAGGGATCAAAGGGGAGGCAAGAGTACAAGTGATCAAGGTATTGGTTCACAGGTGGTGTGGTGGTGGGATACGTGCCAAGGCTGTACCTGAAGGGAGAAATCAAATAATACACAAAACGAACGAGATATAGGAAAAATAAATTAACAAAAGGAAATATATTTTTAAAAATGTTTACCCAGCCTAGGACAAGCTCTTTGGGAGCAAAACCAGTTCAGTCCTGGATGGGGAGAAGTTTGTGCCCAGAAGTGCATTCTATGGCCTACAGACGGCTCCCTGGCTGGCAAGTGCAGAATCTCATCCTCGCAAAGAAAGAAACAAATTTACTTTACGAGAGCATATCGCCTAGTATCAGAGCAGTTCGCATCAACCCTAAAACCCAAATTCAGAGTCACAGTGACTCAGCAGAATCTGATTCTAAAGGACCGCAGTCCGCCGCACCCAGCTCTCTTAGGTCCGCCCCTTTCCGGAGAAGCGATTTACCCTCAGCCCCGGGCTGGGGGGTGGGGGTGTGGGTGGGCGTGGGAGGGCGTGCCCAACCAAGTGCTGAAAACTTCCTCCTGAGTATAGGTAGTCTGAAGGCAGAATCCAGATGGGCCCCCACCCAGATCCTTGAGGTATCCCTTGCGCTTCCCTTTGTAGATCTGGCTGTCAAATCTCCACCCCACAGTACCCCCTTTCTTCCTAAAACTACTGCACGGGGTGCTCCGCCCAGCGCCGGAAGACCAGGGCAGCCAGCCCCGCCTCGCGGCCTGCACAGCTCCCATAAGTCGGGCTGGGCAGCGTATAAACGGGCGGGAGCTCTGCGAGCAGCACCGGTGTCGCCTTCTACCGCTGCTCGACGGTGCTCGCACCTTGACCCGCCAGGGCAGCCAGGCAACCAGCGGGGCAGCCCGGCCTGTCCGCGCCCCCTGAAGTCATGGCTGGTGAGTGCGCCGGCCACTGAGCCCTCGGTGGCCTGCGGGAGCGGGTAGGGGTTTTACCCCGCGTTGTCTTGACTCCAAACTGGAAAAGATGAAGTTTGGAGGATCTTGGGATGAGCCTGGATCAGACTTAGTGAAAGTGGGGATTGCAGTGTCTACCCCACCTCCACCGACTCTGCGGGGCGTTGTGGGGACAATAGCCTTGGAAATAAAAATTACAAAACACATCTGAAAACCGATCCTGATCCCGAGGTTGGCATCTGTCTCACTGGCTCGCCTTCTTTTGGCCTTACACACTTTAAAACACTTTGGAAATGTTGCCAACTTTATAACTGGGCAATTTTACTTTAAAGTGATCCCCAGTTTGGGGAGGAAAATTAGAGGATCTGGCAATTCATGGGCTAGACCTGGGGAAGTCACAACTTTTAGTTTGACCAAACTCAGCAGCTTGGACTGGGCAAAACTGAGTGGGCATTAGGCCCGTTTTCAGTGAGCAACCACCCTGGTACCATCAGCTTGAGGAAATCTTAGAGCCACAACTTGCATGGCCCAGCTTCCAATTTATCCTTCAACAGCTGCAACAGCTGGAAGACCAGGGCACTCCAATTTCCTAGGAAGCCTCACTCTGAAATTGTCACAGAAAATTTAGAAAGCCACTTTGGCAGCATAACTCTATCTTTTCATAATTTCCTTTCCTCTGAACCTAGTCCTGCCTTCTGAAAACATACGTGTGCAGAATATTATCTTGCTTAAAGTAAGTTTAAAGCACTGTGGAAGGAAAAGGGATTGCTTTGTCAGTGGACAAACTATAGTTAGAATCTCAAAGAAAGGCTTAGTTGCTGATTGGAAACCCACAGTTTCTTGGGCCCCAGAAAAGTATGCTTCTGTCACCAGAATGAACGCTTGTGAAGATAAGGACATTGTCTTTTTTGAACACTGGAGAGCCCTGACTGCTTAGTAGGTGCTCAATAAACTGTAATGGTGACTGAAAGGGTGGGACAGTGAGACAATAGCCTTTCGAGCACATAAAGAAAACTTGGGGGTGTTTAATGTGGAGTAGAAACAGGAGACAAGACATTATCAAGGGCTTCAGGTCAAGGAGTGATGTGAGCCCAGAGCAGATTTCCAGGGATGGATATGGTAAGGTGAACCAGGCAGGGTGGAGACATATTAGCAAACTGAGACTGTTGGACTGTTTGAGATATGGTTGCTTCCATTAGAAGGCAAACTGCTTGAGTGGCAGACAGAAATAAATGTTTAACTAGAGATACTGGTAATAACTCCATTTATCTTTCAAGAATCAGCTCAAATAGCAAATTCTCAAGTCCTAACGTGACTAGTTTTCCTCTGTGGACTTTGTCTCCAGTCTCTTCTTTTAGGCTAATGCCACAGCTATTTGTTAAGGGTCTTGTTATTTCTTTTTGGATAAATGCTGAGAAAATTGAACCCATCATATAGCTATTTAAGTGGCAGGAAGGGCAACTGAACCCACCAAGTTCAAAAAAGTCAAGACTGATTAAAAAAATGACCTGGAAATAGGAGGGGTTGGGGATAGGGTTATTATGTTGGGTTATTACATCTCTGATAAATCAATACTAAAGTAGTTCTTTTGTAAAAGTGAAGGGGCATAACTTGAATTTTTGAAAAGTGGGGGACATGTATGTTGCGGTGACCATTTCACAACATCTCCAAATATTGAATCATTATGTTGCATATATTAAACTAATGTCAAGTATAGGGCCACTAAAAAAAAGTGAGCCAAGAGAATTAAAAAGTGACAAAGCAGGGCCCTCCCTGGTGGTGCAGCAGGTTAAAACACAGCACTGAGAATCTAAAGCCGTTTCCTCATGAGTTCGATCCCCGCCTGCCCTGGAGGTGACCACATGGTGTGGCGGACCTCTCCTAACGCGCGCCCACTGCTCCCCTCAGCAGTGAACTTTGTCGATCTGCCTGTTCTGCTCCCCTCTCTGTCTCTGGTGAAGCCTCTCACAGCCCCTGAGCCTCTGGCCTGTACCCCAGTTCTGTATGCACAAATAAATAAATTAAAAAAAAAAAGTGACAAAGCAGTGTTCAGTAAACATCAATAGTCTGATTTACAGATAAATCACAAAAGAAATGCATCCGAGCTTAATATACTCACATATATATATTCACTTTTCCCCCAGTGGCGTTAAGTGCTTGAGTTGATAATAAAGGAGCAGGAGTTTGTCCAGGGGCCTCAGCAGTTGCTTTCCTTCTTTCCAGTCCTTCCAAAGCAGAGAAATCACTCCATAGCATTCAAATTCTCAACACTTTTATATTCTACCAAATCTGAGTTTTTAGACTATAAAATGCCAGGATCAAGCTTGGAAATCTTCATTTGGGACTTGCAGTGTCCTGAAACTTCCACTTGGCTGGTTTAACCCAGTCAGGGTTGCTATGGCCAGATGTGGTTAATTAACCACAAACAAGGGAACCAAATGCTTAAAGGGAACTTAGCAAATATGTTCCTTTAGTCAAAAAAATTGTGGGTGCTTTACCCCTTTCTCCCAGTCACAATGGTAAGGGTTATCCAGTAATAAGCAGGGACCCCATACATTAGGGGAAATTGTGACGATAAACTCTATTTCTTTGGTATTCTTCCCTGCTCTCTGCACATTGCTGTAGGGATCTATCTCTTCCTCTGTACTTTAAAATGCAAATCTACCTGCATATATACTGTTTTTGGTTAAAAAAAATCCATTTTATAATGTATAATCCATTTGATAAAACTGGATTCACATTCATTTCATCTTTTAACAATATATCATAAATACCTCTGGGTAAATACATACAATTAACTTCATCATTTATCCTAATGTCCTGATGTTTTCAGTCTGCAGAACAGGGCACCAGAGGACTTGCTGCAGGGAGATGAGGCCCAGTGCATGCCTAGGGTCTTTGGCCTGCATGTAGGACCTGGGGTTCACCCCAGTAGAGCCATCAGTTCCCTCAGTGCCTGGGGACACATTCATGCCTTTACAAAGGCTTATTCCCTGCCCTGTTGTTTTTGCTTTCTGGCTGCCTCCCATACCACTCTTTTAACTTCCTTACTGCTTTTGCTTTCCACTTTGCTCCTTACTTTTGAGAATTGGCTTCAAGGGCTTCCAAGCCTTCAGTTTGCTCTTTTCTCCATTTATGATGCTTTCAAGCTGTGGTTGCAATCCACCCACTTGTGAAATGGCTGCAAAACTTCCAGTCGCTCCATTATCAGCATGAGGACCCCTGGTTGCTTGCCCTGTGCCTGAGGCCTGTGGTGCTGCTGTTCAGGAGGGTGAAGTGTTCCAGTGTGTCTGGAAGCCCACAGTCTCACTGTACCGCGGGCACGGATGCCAGCTTGGCCCAGTGACACCATGCTATTTAACCCCTTGCGCCATCAGGGAGGGCCCTCGTTTGTATTTTTATCCCTTCCCATTTTTATTTTTAAGGAGATAATACATATATGTATGTATATTTAAGATTTATTTTTATTTATACATACAAGAACTGGGGTGTAGGGCAGAGGTGGAGGCGTGAGAGGATTCACCAATGATAGAATGGGGAGCAGAACAGACAGATCTACTGAAGTACACTGCTGAAGGGCAGTGTGTGAAACAAGAGAGGTGTGCTGCGCCATCTTGGCCAGGGATTGAACTTATGCCACTGATAGCACTGAGACTTGAACCCCTGTGCCACCAGACAGGCCTTCAGAAAATATATTTTTTAAGGTAAGAATACATTGCAGTTGATAGACTAGTAAGCCACTGTCTAACACTTGCTGAAGCTTTGCAAGTTGGTACCTCATTTTTTCCCTATGCCTTGTGTGTGTCTAGTCAGGAAAGCCCTGATTGTGCTGGCCCACTCAGAGAAAACATCCTTCAACTATGCCATGAAGGTGGCTGCTGTGGAAGCTTTGAAGGAGAAAGGATGGGATGTGCTTGAGTCAGACCTCTATGCTATGAACTTCAACCCTCTCATCAGCAGAGAGGATATCAAAGGTAGGAGTAGCTTCCTGCTTTAATGAGGTTTTGTGAAATTTCTCACCTTCTCTGGACCAGCTTTGTCCATTCTGGCCTCAGCCTCTCTTTTTCCCTCTCTGCAGGTAAACTGAAAGATACTGGGCACTTTCAGTATGCTGCTGAGTCTGGTCTAGCTTATCAGGAAGGTCGTCTGAGCCAAGATATTGTGGCTGAACAAAAGAAACTAGAAGCTGCGGACTTGGTGATTTTTCAGGTATGATAGAAGTGGTGTGGGTACAATTGAGTTCTATTTGTCCTAGGCTTGAGACAATTAGCTATGAGATCTGAGAAAAGCCACCAACCCCACTGGAATGTATTTTTTCTAAAGAGTGGTTATTTATTTATTTATTTAAGATTTATTTAGGCATACAAGAACTGGGATATAGGCCAGAGGTGCAAGGTGGAGGGTGAGAGGATTCACCAGAGACAGAGTGGGGAGCAGAACAGGCAGACTGACTGAAATACACTGCTGAGGAGAGCAGCGGGTGGGTCAGGAGAGGTCTGCTGGGCTACGTGGGTCACCTCGCTAGCCGGGGATCCAACTCATGATATAGTTAGTGGCTGATGACAGCTTCATAGTGTTGAGACTTAATCCTTGCACCACCAGTGAGGCCCCAGAAGGGTGATTAATTCTGAGAGCAGTATTGCGTATTTACAGACAGGGTGGATCTGGCTGTATTACTCCTTGAAAGTATGAATGTGATGGCAAAGACGGCATGGGAACCATGAGATTTTCCCAAAGTGTGTTTAATTTTTTCTCCAATTACTGACTCCTTGTGGAACTTCTGAAAGTTGGTGGTTCTTCCTTCTGTAAGCATCCTGAATAGTGTGTGGAATGACTCATGAGAGACTGACTTCTCTGCTGAAGCTACTCTGCTGAAGTAGCCAGAGCAGCCCTACCCTGCTTAATGTGTTTGAGCAGCAAACCATGGCTTTTCTTCTCCCCACCTGGAAGCTGCCTCAGCATTTAGCAGTCAGTATTGTAACTCTATGTGCTTCCTGTCAGTCATCTTTCCTGGAAATGCTAGGCTCTGCTTCTCCCGGTTCCAACCAGCTTTTTGATACTGAACATGGAATGTGTAGGAGATTGGAAATGACACAAGAAGGGTGATAACCAGTTATTCAAGGAATCCAGACTTTGAAGTTTGTGGGAGCTGTGTCTAGGTCCCCCAAAGGTGCTTTCTTGGCCCATGTTTCTATTGTATCATATCCTCATGCAGCCAAGGCAACAGCAATAATAACCTTTAGTTCTGCATCTCAGAGTCACTTTAAATTTTACTTCTACTTATGCCTAAATTTAAATTTTTAAATTTTACTTCTATCTTATGCCTATTTTTTTAAAAAAGATTTATTTATTTATGCATACAAGAGCTCCGGTGTAGGCTAGAAGTGCAGGGATAAAAGGATTTACCAGAGATGTGGTGAACAGGCAGATCTACCAAAATACACTGCTGAGGGGAGCAGTGGGCCAGACAGGAGAGTTCTGCTATGCCATGTGGGTTAGCTCCCTGGCCAGGGATCAAACTCATGACATACTGGCTAATTTCAGTGTCATAGTGCTGAGACTTGCACCACCAGGAGGCTCAAAGTTGTTTTCTATCAGTACAACTGTGGAGGTTGTACACTTCGAAATAGCAACGCGTTAAAGGGCAATGTAAACACTGCAGATTTGTATATTTATGCCAACAGTTTTTCAGCAGATGGCAAGGAAAGTCTTACTCCAAAATCATCAGTGTTCTTCGATAGTCAAATTTTAACATAGAAATTAGCATCCTGAGGAATACCTTAATTCTTTTACAATTTTTTAAAAAGACTTTATGATGGACTAAGTACACTGCTGAGGGGAGCAGCGGGTGAGACAGGAGAGGTCTGCCGTGCCATGTGGGTCAGCTCCCTGCAAGGGATCAAACTTGCTGAAGCAGTTGCCGGTTACTCCAGCTTTGCAGTGCTGTGCTTTCACCAGTTGCATCATCAGGCAGGGCCCAAAGTGCCTTAATTCTTACCAAGTTGCCATCTGGGCTCTCCTCTGCTCAGTTTTCTCACATCTCTAAGAACTTGAGGGAGAGTAAACTTTTAATAGTCTGCACACCAGTCAAATCTATTTTCAGCCCCGACTGGAGAGCATGCAGACTCCCCACAGTTGCAGAGTCACAAATGTGAGAATGTTAGGAGAGATTACTCAAGTTCCTTTTTTCACAGGTGAGGCAAATGGATGTAAAGTATGCAGGGGGCTTGTGTGGCAAAGGCTTGCATTGAATTGGTGAAAGAATTAGGATGAACACACTGTCGTCCTATGTTCTTTTTGTTCTAAAACCTCACCTCCTTGGCCCCTTTGCATTAGGTCAAAGACCTTCCACATACTCGAGAAAGCTGGAGTCCCTGAGTTCCTTGTAGACCCTACTACTTCCCTCTGTGCAGTGTTCTAGTGGTCAGTATTTTTACAACAGGAGTCAAGGGTAAGAAGAAATATTAGTACTCCACTTTTGTCAGGGCAAAAGATGCCAAGCAAGACTGGCTCACAGAATTCTCTGATAAACCTCAGTCCTATGAGTCATTTGTGTGGTCCTGTTGATTCTAAATGATAGGATTTTACACACAAGAGCATCGGGGACATGTTTTATAGTTTCAGTACTACACTTCCTAAAAGCAAGCTCTTGGGGAAATATTTTCAGGATCACACTGAAGGAAACTTTGTCCGTGACCCTTCCTGTGAATCCTTGCGGGCTAGAATGATCTCACAGAAACACATCTTATTTGCATGTGGCTTTCTTTTTGGCTCATCCAATTGCTGTATGTTTAGGCAGAAACAGAAAGTGACCAGGACAGTAACTTTCTTTTCTCTAATGTGCTAAGTCCTTCAGAAGGGACCTGAAGAAAAGTTGGCTCACAGAGATGTTATGGGCAGCAGCCTAAGATCGCAAGTCTTCTGCACTGTGGGTATCCCTGACCTGATCCCTTTATCCTCTGTCCTGCAGTTCCCACTACAGTGGTGTGGAGTACCTGCCATCATGAAAGGCTGGTTTGAGCGAGTGTTTACCTCAGGGTTTGCTTACACGTATGCTGCCATGTATGACCAAGGACCTTTTCGGGTAGGTGAATGGTTCTGTTTTTTCTAGCAAGTAAATTTTGTTCTGAGGCAGTGTTTGAGCCCAATTAGATGCTAAGATCAGGCTCTACGTACCTTGGGGAAAGATGCATAATGTCGTTTTTTTAGATGTGTTTGGGACTAGCTTTAAAAAGTTCTTCAAAGGAGTGGAAAGGGTCCACGGGATTAGGTAAAACTAAAAGTGACAAGTACTAAGAGTTGGAGCTGGTTTTTGGGTGCATCATTATACTGTTTTCTCTGCTTTAAGTATGTTTGAAATTTTCCATAATAAAACATGTGGAAAGAAGTTCTGTCTTCATTTTCTAGAGACCCACATACTGCAAACACAGATTTTCTAGATTACATGGCTAGTACCATGGGTTAACAGATAAAACGCAGCCTAGATACCTGGAGTTAACACTTTGTGTGACTCAAAGGAGCCAAGGTGTGAAATAACAAAAACAGAAGCTAAGGTGGACTTGTCTTGTGTTCTTTTCTCTGGGGCAGTTTCATTAGCTTCCTGTCACCAAGGAGATGTGGATGGTAATGACTTTTCTCTTACAGAATAAGAAAGCAGTACTTTCCATCACCATGGGTGGCAGTGGCTCCATGTACTCTCTGCAGGGTGTCCACGGGGACATAAATATCATCCTCTGGCCAATTCAGGTACCTACTTTTCAGTGAACCTTCAGGGGGATTCATTAATTGAGCTTTCTCTGGGGCTCAAAACCTCACATAGCAGTTGAAAACACATCTGATGTGTGAAGGTGAAAGCAGAACAATGATGCAGAGCTACAGGAAGCTTCCTTTTAGGAGTCATGTGTCTCACAGGCCTGTTTGTAGGAAAAAAAAGTCACATGTGCCTAAGTTCCAACATCATTCTCTGAACCAAGGATAAGGGCGCACAATCCTAATTTGTATTGACAAGTGCTCTGATCCTGTCCAGATGACTGACTTCTCTCTTCAGTCTTCTTGTCCTTCTCCAAGTTACTCTTACAGTTGCAGAGACTACTACCAGGAAAACTTAGGAATGATTTAGTCCGATAAATAAAACCAAAGTCTGAAGCAGATGTTTTGGTGGTCACTGGACTCTCAAGATAATTTCTTCTAAGGAAGAGGGTTGGAGAAAGTAGCAGATGTAGTGGCCACCTATATTACATTGGAGACTATTGAAGATTAACTTATTAAGACTCATCTGGTCTGTAGAGGCAGAGAAATGCACATCTGCATGTTTTGGCAAGAGTCCCCAGCCAACAAGCAAAACCTCTCCCTTATGTAATAGAACTTCTAGCACTTTTGGCAGAGGCTCCCAGGCTGGCACAGTTTCAATGCTTTATTCAAAGAACACAGCTGAATAGGTTAAAATAGGTAACATGTAGGTAGAGAGCACAGAAGGTAAGAGAATGTAGCTATGAACCAATTCTCCTGGGTGCATTTTATTTTCACATTAGGGTGGGGTTTTTTTGTGTGTGTGTATGGGGGGGCAAGGGGAGAATGCCCAGATTAGCTGTTGTTCTAAGTACAGGCTGTTCTGTGCCTCACTGCTATGCTTTGCTTATCCTCAGAGTTGCATTCTACATTTTTGTGGCTTCCAAGTCTTAGAACCTCAACTGACATACAGCATTGGGCATACACCATCAGATGCCCGAACTCAGATCCTGGAAGGATGGAAGAAACGCCTAGAGAATATTTGGAATGAGTCCTCACTGTACTTTGTTCCGACTAACCTCTTTGACCTCAACTTTCAGGCAGGATTCTTAATGAAAAAGGAGGTACAGGAAGAGCAGAAAAGCAAGAAATTTGGCCTCTCTGTGGGTCATCATTTGGGCAAATCCATTCCAACTGACAACCAGATCAAAGCCATAAAATAAGATTAATAGAACTTGATATCCTAGTACAATGTACCCAAAGCAGGACACATCAGACTTAGACTTACTTGATGCACCTTTAAGATTTTTTTAAGGTGCTCTATATTATTTAATTTCTTTAGAGATAAATTTTTAGGGCTAAGTCTGAGTAGACACCATCCAACTCATCAGTGATCTATTTTTCTTTTAATTAATTCTGTGGTTTGTGGCAGAAGGGAATTGCTCAGAGAAAGAAATGACTGAATGTCTTACTTAAGGGACTTGTTTAAGAATTAGTCATCTATAGTTCTATATAATATACATTGGTTTTAATTATTATACCCTGACAAATATGGCTATAGAGTGTTACTTTCTTCAGCTTGTTATTTGTATATAGTACAGATACCTTGAATGAAAAGTTATTAAACGTTCCTTCTTTACTTCAGCTCTTCTAATAATGTTTATAGAAATGAACACATGTATATACTATATTTGCTACAATAAGTAAATTCAAGAAAGAAAATAATACCACCAAATACCAAAACAGCATTCTATAAGCAGTACCTTATTTCTGATCTATATAAACATCTGGAAAGTTTTCTCTGTATCATTACTAAACAGACATCTTTCCTTTTAAGGATGCATTTTGGTTCCAAGACATTTGGGGTAAAATCAAATGCCTGGAGTTCCATTAACCTCAGTGAACAATTCTGGCATGATCTATCTTCCCCCTTAAACTGATGAAGTGCATCTCTGCTAACTGTTGATATCTGAAGAAAGACCACCCTCTTGTGGTGCACTGAAAGAACACACAAGTAATGATGCAAAGGAAGGTTGCCTGAAATTGGCAACAGCTTAGTATTTGATGATGCAATGATGGCATCTAGCCAGAGAACCTCACTTGCCATATATTAACTGAACTGGGGTTTGCCCTCTTTCAACAATATCCACAACACTAGATATCTGGGTGCTTTGGTTTGAAAATAATTTTTTATTGCCTTCATCCTCACTATTTTTGTGTGAGTTTTTGTGTGAGTTTCTAAAAGTTTCAAATGAAGTAATATCCATTTCTACAAAACAGACCCATACTCACTAATTTCCATGTAGGTAGTGATAAAGGCATTCTGGCAAAAATGGACTCTACTGAGGAAGCTGTTTATCAGAGGATTCAATAATAAACTATGGCCATAAAGTTAAGATGCCTTAGCTGGAGAACTTACTCAACAGGCTGTTTCATACTAAATGGTAGTGTAACAACCTATTAAAATGCTTTGGGTCCAGGTGACAGCACTAGGAATGTTGAGAAGTGGTTGGATTCTGGATATATTTCAAAGGTTGGAGTAGCAGAATTTGATGCATTGAATCTATGTTAGATTAAAAAAAAAAAAACCTCAATGCAATTGGAAGAGTGGAAAAACCTCAAAGGTGGAAATTCCATTTATAATCTTTGCTATCTGCTATGAGGGTGAATCTGGAGAGTATCTGAAACAGAAGTAAGGGGACTTACTTTGGACTTCATGACATGTTACGCTTGAGATTGCTATTAAGACAGCCAAATGAAGCCGTCATGTAAACAGCTATAGAATACAAACCTGAACTGAGAGAAGTTGTGGCTGGAGATTCACATTTGGGGATCTTAAACATATAAAACAGTATTCCAAACATTAAGACTGGATAAGATCATGTAGGAACTGATTTAGGATAGAGAAGAGATCATGACCTCAAGGCTCTTCAATGTGAGGTCAAAAAGATGGGAATGAAAGGAGTGTTGGCTGGTAACGCAGAAAAGCCAAGTGAGAATTTCAAGGAGGGAGCCCTCCTTAGTGAAGCAATGGTTTAAAGCTCAGCCTTGCAAGCGAGCCATAGCCACTTCAGTGCAAGTTTGATCCCTGGCCAGGGAGCTGACCCACATAGCACAGTAGACCTCTCCTTGTCCCGTATCCCAGTTCTGTATGCATAAATAAATAAATCTTTAAAATAAATAATAAAATGAAAGTTGTGCAGATAAAAACCTGATTACAAAATAGAAAAATTAGAAATAAGAGAATTTATGCTGCCTTCTGTGCATTCAGACAATTTTGGGAGGAAGTATAGTTGCCGCCAAGGTGTTCTGCTTCAGGCCCTTAAGCTCTGATACTCCTCTCTGCCCTGGACTTTGATATCGCCAGTTTCTGCCACCCCCAGAAAAAGCATTTCTTGTAGATCAGCGCCCATTAGATCAGCTGTTCTTTAGCTGTGATTTGTAGAAATAAAATGTTTAAATCTTTTTGGGAAAAAAAAAAACCCCACCAACAATTCAGTTACTTTCAAAGAATCACAAGACTGCCTATATTTGATTAGAAGACATAAGGGTACTGTCTAAAGCAGTATACCTGAAACCAGTTATATACTGATATATATCATATTCATGATATATCACCAACCACATGCATATCCACACATTTCTTTTATTAGCAGTTCTTTAATATTTTCCTTTAATTTGACTCATATTCCCCATAGTTTAGTACTTGGAAACCTATTTTTTTCTAAAGTACATTAAAACACTATACACCTGGCCCTCCCTGGTGGCGCAGCGGGTTAAAGCACAGCACTGAGAATCTAAAGCTGCTTCAGCATGAGTTCAATTCCCGCCTGCCCTGGAGGTGACCACATGGTGTGGCAGACCTCTCCTGACCGGCCCGCTGCTCCCCTCAGCAGTGTACTTCGTCGATCTGCCTGTTCTGTTCCCCATTCTGTCTCTGGTGAAACCTCTCACCGCCCCTGAGCCTCTTGCCTGCACCCAGTTCTGTATGCACAAATAAATCTTAAAAAAAAAAAACCACTATACACCTATGTTTAAATGCATGTTGTCACATAAAATGCATGTACCACAAAGTGATGAATTGTTATATATACACCAAATTCTGATAAAGGCCTATTTATATATGTATAAATAACTTCCAGAAGAATTAAGAGACTGCATCTAGATGTGCGACTGACACATGGTGGGACACATGGCTTTCAACAAAAGTCTCCATGCTACATGACTTGCTACCATTTGTATATACTGTTTTACTAAACATGAAAAATTTAAGCATAATGAACTAAGAAAAAAATTTATCACATTAAGTCATCTCTTGCAGTTCCTGGCAAAAGAGCAGGAAGAAATAACTACTTAAAAATATTTGTTATTTCATAGAGAAATTATTTTTAGTGATTTTTCTAGCAATTTTGTAATTTCAGTCATGTACTAGTATTGCTCAAAATCGACATTCATGGGTATGAATTCACTCGCAGAGTTTGAGGGAAAAAAGACAGTTACCCACTGCAAAATGAAAACTTTCAATGTTTTATTTTTGACTGCAGCTGTTTACAGAAATATAGTTGCGAGTATACAAATGTTCCAATAGAAGCAAAATATCTTTTTAATATTTAACAAGTTATCACAGATAGCTAAAAACATAGATGCAAATGAAATTCCCCCCAAGAATAAACTGAATATCTGGTGTCAGTGCTCTGAAATCCCAACTATGAAAGCCATATACACAAAAATGTAACCATTATATATCATTGCAGGACAATGGAAGAAGGCAGTTCAGTGGTTGATCAGTGTGCTCAAGCAAATAAAATTAAATGAAAAAAATTTTTAAATGTTTAAATGGCAGAATAATAGCGAAACCACATGAGGATAGGTTAATGAAATATTTGTAGCATTTTTAAGTAAAGGAAGTGAGTGAAACTCAGTAGAAGTTGTCAAAAAGTAGCAACAACTTGGAGCTTATCAACTAGAAGTAAGAGAACAGATACATTCATTAGATCAAAAGAAACCAACTCAAGGTCACTAGAATCAGTCTGTAGCTACTAAAGTCATGAACACTTCAGTATTGGCCAGATTAGTCTGATTCCAAACCACTCAAACATTTAAGGGTGTGTGTGTGTGTGTGTGTGTGTGTGTGTGTGTGTGTGTGTGTGTGTTCCTGAGTTCATTAGCTCAAATAATAAGTGATCTCGACAAACTGTCTCAAAACAGGCAGATTACTTCAGAAAGAAAAGTGTGGCGGTGATATGGTTAAGCATGGAATATTTAAAAGAGATAATACAAATTGAATTATGATAAAAACCTTTGGATACAAACATATATTATGCAAAAAAGTAAGAAACAGGGGAGAGGCTAAGAAAGGAATGTAGTTAGAGCATCTCCCAACAGTTCACCTATGATTTTTGCCAGCACCAAAGTTTGTAGAGTAAAGCCACTTTCATTGCCACTGCTTCCATTCAGCAAAGACAGCAGTGGTGATTTTTAAAGTTAGTACACATTTATTTTTACTTTGAAATATATATTTTTCCTTTGTGAGTTAACTGGTGTTTATAAATGATGGGTGAAAGAATATAATAATTATGCAGGTATTGAATTACATAGGGAGATTAAAATGAATAAATCTACTTACCTTGTGGCTAGTTTATATTTACCATGATGTATACACATGAGAAGGGAGAAAAGCCCAAATTATATAATGTACTGTCTTGTTTAATATTATTTTAGTAAATAATGTTAGATTAAGCATAAGTTGCAAGGACAGCAATATCTCTACAGCATCAGTTCTCATATAAAACAAATTACTTTCAGGAAGTTTTAGCTGTTAAAAAAAGAAATTAAATAAGGTACTTTATTGACCTGGCCAACCATTTTGTTTAATATCTCAGATACAAAAATGAATATAAGGAATGACAAATAATTTTGTTCTATAAGTTGGTCTAGCCAGAGCATCATTGTGGTGTGCTGGTAAAGAAAGAGGCAATGAAAAAAAATTTTAGATGCTTGTATTATCACTGCCCACAATGTATCCACTTTATGGATAAACAGGCGACTTTAGCACCCATCAATTATATTAGCTACTTAAATGTCTTAACAATTAAAAGAAATACAGAACATTGCACCTATGTATTTAAATCAGTCATTTAATGTAAACTTTTTAGTAAGTGGTAGGAAAATGCCAAACTAAGTCAACTAAATTATCAATAACTAGACTAACTGTATATGTACATAAAATATAGTGTATTTCCATAAATAGTAATGAGAATAAATTACTATTGCCAATAAATGATTTTGGATAACCAGGTTAAACTGCATTTACAAAAATAACAATGTATAGCTGTATCTGTATGAATTAAAAAAAAACTTTCTATATCTTACTGTATACAGTTTATACCAGTGATTCTCAAACTTGAGATTACATCAAAATGACCTGGAGGGCTTGCTAAAACAGACTGCCCGGCCCAATCCACTTTCTGATTCAGTATATTTGGGATAAGGCCCAACAATTTGTTCTAGTTTCTAGTAGGGTCCCAGATAATAATGATGTTAGCTGGTGGGCTGAAGATCATATTTTGAAAACCACTGGTTCACACATACTATACATATATAAAATTAGATACTATGATGTTCTTATGTACATGACACAAAATATGTAGAAAGAGGGCAGGCTTTAACTCTCAAACATATAGATTAGCAAGTTGAACATCTTATTTTTCTAAAATGATTCTTTGACATATAGTCATTTCCCCTTATAGGAAGCTACATTTCAAAGTGTTAAGTCCTACTATACTATCATTTTAGAACATATTCACATAACAGTTATACCAACTTGGCTATCTAAAATAAAAAGGGACATAAATATTCTAAATAGCTAAGATTTATTCATTAAGAAGGAATCATCACTATACATCATTCTTGATTTCTTTGGAATGAATAAAGTGCATATAATATCAATAGCATATTAAAAATATTGCATAAAGGTTTGCAGTTTTTTTAGTGACATAAATAGTCATGGAAGTACTCACATGGGGAAAGCAGCTCTATCCCAAAGTTACTATTATCCTAACCTGCTGCCGAAGGACCTTTCTGCAGGCATCACCACTGTTGTAAGAAGATGGAACATAGGCAAAATTAACAAAAACCTAGGGACACTCATCCAACTGCACCCGATTAAAAAGAACTATTATCTTAGGTCTAGAGGGATTCAGGTATAACCTCATTTCCTTTGACATTGTTTTCCTAGGGAGATTAACTGAAAGTTCTGAGGGGTAAGAAGTACATTATAATGAATCACTTAACCCTATCCAGTTAGAAAAAATGACACTACCAGGCTTTACCTAAACTATGTGTTAGTCATTTATTTATATCTAAATAATTAAGACACTCTGAACTCCTTCCTGATATACATACACATTTGTATGCATGAAATCTCACAAATAGTAAAATTTTCATTAGCATTCAAGAAAGATTTATCATTAGTTGTGTGAAATGACTTTTAATTTATATAAAGTCTGAACAGTATAATTCTGTAATCTTTTACTTATCCCTACTCAAAGAACATTTCTAGCATTTCTGTTAAGAATGTTAAGAATAACATTTCTGTTATTCTTAGGCCAAGGGGAATTAGAAATTTATGAAGTTGTTTTTTATGGCAATCAAGATGGAGAATAACTAAATGGAAAAGTTAAAAGTTGGGACCTATTAAAGCCACTTGTAAATGTTTTGGCAACAGTGAAAACATGAAATTATAAGAAAGGGCCATTATTATGGTAAAAAGGCACTTTTCCATTAAGTACTTAATCTAGATATAAAATATTAATTTAAAAAATTTCCTGAAAGACAAAGTGGAGTAAAAATAGAAGTTTCTTAATAAATGAGTCTAGAATGGCATGAAAATAAACGGGGATTAAAAGAGTAATTAGAGCACTCAGGCAATTCACAAAAGATATAGGTATTCTGAAATTTACTATATCATGAATATTATCTCCATGAGTTAGTGCTAATGACACAAAGAGGCAGAAAAGATTACTTTTTAATACATAAATACCTGTTAAGAAATCCACTGACTAGGGTGTAAGCTTTAAGTTGTATTTCTAATAAATCTGAACTATACGCACAGTATCTCATTTTCACTGAGTCCCACTTTATAACCAAAGCATGCAGCTGTAACATGGCTGCCTTACTCAGGGATGAAGTCTGGTCATGAATGGACTAAAGCTGTCATATTACAATAAAAAAGCAAAAAAACAAAACACAAGGAAACAGGTATCAGAATATTCATTTCATCAGAAAGACGAAACATTTTCAAACTACTTCTAAGAGAATATTTGTAAACCAATGTTGAATTTGAGCCTTTGATTATTAAAGCATTTATTCTGCTCTTTATCAGTTTTTATTTTTTCCAAAGCAAACATTTATAATGGGATTAAGTGATACCATTATAAAGAATGGGATCCTCAGAGTGATTGAGATACTTCTTTCTCATTTTCTTTCATACTATTTTTCTTGATTTAACAATATAATTCTTAGCATGTTAACTAAAGTTCTGATGGACAATAGTATATACAATATTACAATAAAGAAAGGAAGAACAGGAAAGAAAAAAGGAAGGAATATCCCTGATCACACTTCTGTAATAAGCAAAGCTCTTTGAAAATCTGTTCAAGGGAACCCGGTGAAAACAGATTTGCTTGCACTGGGGAAATAACAACATGATACTCCAATTACAAAAGGCAACAGACAAAGCTCAGAAACAACATTTGATTTCCAATTCTCTTCCCCCATACTGATGTGGCTATATAATGGAATGACAGCAGGAAGAACACACACACATATACACACAGATAAGCTCCAAGCATTAATATGAGTTGCTAAAAGGAAGGACAATTGAATATAACAATGTAAAGGAATAAAATGTGGTTCATGGTTTACTTAGGTCCTTCTGCCATAAATAAATTTAATAAATTATTTTCAAGGCCTTTGGAGCTCACTGAGTCTTTCCTAACCTGTAACAGTAATCTGGAAACAACATTATTAGCACAAGTATCAACCACTGGCCATGGAGCAACTCTTCAATAAGAAGACAAATACTTTTTTGCAACCAAATTGTATGTTCAGAATTTTGTACTTAACATTGACCTTTAGGAGTAAGTAACATTTAACAATGAAAAAAGAAAAAAATCATTATTATTGAATAAGAATATGGAAGCATAGCACAGCCCTTGTATAAATAACCACAAAATTTATGAAAATAAAAATTGGGTTTCTGTCTCCATTCAATCAAGCCAGTACAGTTCAGGTGTATGTTCTGTTCTAAAGTTAGATATTATAAAACAGAAATTGGTCCCTGGTGACTTGGCATTGGCAATCAACATTTTACAATGATATATAATCTCTTGCTAAACAACAGAACACAAGTCAGCACACAAACCAGTCTTCCTGCCATCACTTCATACAGAAGAGTGTTAATAATCATTCTAATTGGAATTTGACGAACAAATAGACTTCTTGAGTCTCCTGTGTGATCTTTTAGAAAAAAATTCAGAAACTCAGACATAAACTGAAAGCATCTAAATTTTAATCCTATTTTCTTATGTTTACACCTACTGGTTAAGCTTTCTCTGTTAATAGGCAACCCTCTGCTGTTAGAATTTAAAATTTACCTTTTAAAATCAAAGCACTGGGTTGTGTGGCTGATCCTTCTTATAACCTGAACTATATTGGATAATATTTCCCAATAGAGGTGGGTAGAGAAGAGATATACTTAAGAGAATGCTTTTGGTTTAGAGAATTTATAAAGTTGCTCTGGATATTACAAGATGGGGGAAATGTTATTAAAATTACAAATATGGTTTTTTTAAAGTGTTTTTATAAATAAAAGGCATAGAATACAGAAAGCCAATTAATAATAACAATAACAACAATAATAAAATATTAAATATATAGTGAGCAAAGACTGAATGGCTCATTCTTGTGAAACACCATTAGACACAATGGCCTGGATGGGTTTCCTTACTCTAACATTTTGCTGAGTCAAAGACACAGCAAACACACAGCAAGCTGCCTTTAGCCCACTAATAACATCAAAGAACTGCCTGATGGAATGGCCACAGATGAACAGGTCATTTGTTTCGAAAGATACTTAAATACTCAATAAAGACATAACAAACCCCCCCCCACTGTTATCAGACGCCACGTTGTGGTAGAACATCAGACAAACTCACAAATTTACCACAAAAATGTGTGGCAAAAAAAGAATAGTTTATATATATGTATATATATAAATTTCTATATTTATGCCAATGTACTCAACTCAGTACAAATAGCAAAATAGTATACCATTTCCTAAATACAAAATATAGCTTTCCAAAAAAATGAAACACACATTAGATATAAACCATCCAAAACTTGAACGATTGAAAACTGTATTCAAAATTAAATGACCCAGAGTAGGTCTCTTTCTGAAAAGTTCCCTTCATATCGGCAAGAAGCCTGTACTACTGAAAACGTAATTCAATACCTCTCAATCAGAGAGAGAAAGAAAGAAAGGGTTGAGGGTAGAGGGAAGAATATATGATAACAAAGAGAAAAACAAATTAGAAGAAGAGCACACTCAAGGAAGACCATCACAAAAATGGGGAAAAAATCTGGTTGTATAAACCAACACCACAATACCACAAAGTTCAACTAAATTAGGATAGGAAAAAAATAGAAAAGTAGCCTTCAACAAACAATTAACAGGCTATTTTTTTTTGTACAATTAAAAAATAAATGAAATGGACAAAAATACCAAAACATCTTATCTACATATAGAAGCCACACACAATTTGGCCTTAAACTGTATTGACAGCTTACTACATGCCAAAAGAAAAGTAAGATAAAAGCACATGTCCAGATAACAGGTTGTAGTGAGAAGCAGGCATCCCATGGGTGGTGAGAACACCCAAAACTGTATAACTAACGCTACAACTGCAGATTCTGGAGTGTTATTTTGCTCTTTATAGTTGCAATATGAGTTAATTCTTCATTTTAAGTCAATGATATGGCCCTGTAAAGCCTAAGGCTTGTGGGAACCATCAGATAAGTGACCACTTCAAATGGTAAAGCACTGAGGTGACAAGTGAATTACACTCACTGCAGCTCAGGGAGAAGTGATATTTCAAGAAATTTTAGTTTGTCTTCTTTTAATTAAAGTTTAATAGCTTCCTAATAGAAGGAAAAAACTGAATTCAGAACAGCACCGTTCATGGGGGAAAAAATGCATTGTTTCTTGCTTTTCAGGAATCAGCTCCTCTCATTCCTGAAAAGGGACCACTCAAATGTGCTGCAGGAATTGCTGGGTCATCCCAGATCTAAGTGGCCTTTTCCATTGTGTTGTTACAGGGTCATTACTAATAGACTAAAATTAAATGGGGAAAAAGGAGGAAGAATAATACAGATGAATATAAGACGGATTATCAGCCCAAGTCTTGATTAAGAAGAAAACAGACTAAAAATTGTTTCTGTAAGTTTAAACTATTGTGGGAGGACATCAGAATACAGTTTACCATATATTCTCCCCTTTATTTCCTATAGAGCAAGATAATTATTTTTCTATGCGGTTATGGCTAAACCCTTTAATAGAAACACAGAAAATTAAAAACCTCTGAAAAATAAAATCAATAACATTCCAGCTGTTCCCAGTTTGTATGTTGTTTGCTTTTGTGTTAAATAAAGAGGCCTCTTATCTGTGTAGAGCTCTTAATACGGCTTATTTATCAGAATATTAGCCTTTCACTTTCTCCATAAAAACTGAGAAAAGATTCCTTCACTTTGGCCAATAGCTGTGCTTTTTGTACTGAAAAACCACAGCTTTTGTTACTATTTAAACTTTACTTTCTCAAAAGCCATTACTTGAATAAAACAATGCAGGGAAAAAAAAATGAGGAACAGAAGTAAACATGACAGTGAGTTATTTTTCTAATAGCAATAATAACTGAGTGGTCCAGCTTTTAAATTTAAACTGTACTTTAAAAGAAATAATGCCTAGGAAAATAGCAACAATTAACTCTGTCAGCTGGAAACTCAAACAGACTCAGTTATCACTGTTATTAGGAATATAAAATATGAAGACATTAACAACGGTGGCTAATCACTGCAACAGGCAGCATAGGTGTGCTCTTTTGCAGTCAGAGTAAAATCTATCCCTTTTTACTCAATCACAGTTTTTCATATTTTCTTATGCTTTTAAAGTAACAGTTTAATAATCCTCATGGAACCACAAGATCTCAGGACATCTTGGAATCAGGATTTTCTTCAAGGAATTTCTAAGAAAAAGAAGAAGTTTAATATAACTCTGGAGAGGGAAAGCATTTATAAAGTTCCTGTTACCCTGGCTGATCCCAAAGTATGCTATACAGTACTATAGCTGATACCTTATCATATTTATACTTCCACAGACATATCTGTATTTATATGTATTTACATTTATTTTCTGAGGGAGAAATGAGACATAATTATGATTATAGGTAGTACATGTAGTATACGTAGTACATTCATAAGATGTTTTGTCATTCCAAGGCAAAGAAGTTTAGAGCCAGAAGGAATGCCCAGTACTAGTAATATGACCATAAGTCATCATTCCTAGCAATTTATACACACCATTTTGTGAGAAAGCCATCTTTTAAAAGATTAGAATCTAAACAATGCTATTACTTGACCCACATTTGTTAAGAATAATACAAATTATTAATGTTTATTGATAAGCAAGAAGTTAAAATGCAATACTTACATCTCCAGTTAAAACGAGCCAGTCAAATTGTTCCCTTGATTTTGCAATGAAACAAGCAAATCAATCTTTTCAATGTTTTGGTTGGTGTTTATAGAGGGTGCCAGAGGAGAACTCTCTGGCATTTGCTGAGAGAGAAGTGTTGTCACAGAAGACTGCCCCTCATTTTGTGGTTGACCTGGCTGACTTATAGCCATCAACTGATCTGGCAATGTTGCTGGTCCAGAAGATAAAAGCTGACTACAGTCTGCAGAGACATTTAAAGTAGAGAAGATACCTAATTAGCTACTTTCTGTTAAGATTCCCAAGAAGATATTTACTAGTTGCTAGGGGAAATGAATTATTGCACTAAATCAGTACAGAACTAAAGATGAGGCAATAGGCCTCCAAACAAATTTACTTGGAACTATATTGGAGTGTACTTTAGGATTCTTCTAAGCAGTATAAAAATGCAACTTTGCTCATTAACCCAAGTACTATAAAATTTCCTTGGTATATGAATATGAATATTAGTTTCTAGCTCCTTAGAATCTACCTACTTTGTCTGAGATATTTTCTGTCATTGTTACTTATTTTCAAGTTTATAATTTGAAAATGTCAGACACATACCTTTATATAGATGACCACATTTAATCCTCCCAATATCCTTGAGAAGTATATACTACTGCCACTATTTTAGATGTGGAAACTGAGGCTCAAGCAAGTAACTTGTGAAAGAAGTCACAGTATATGGTATGGCTGGGATGTGATCTCAATTTTAAGTACAAGCTGTACTCTTAAAGCCACTCAGTTTTGTGTCCTTCTAATAATAACAATAATGATAATCTATTTCAATGAATTAGCAATTAAGAAATGAGAAATTAGAATTTTCTTACTATTCTGAATTCCAAATAAGAACATTCCTGATGTCTGCTGAGATGAGCCTGGAGAATTCTGTAGTTGGTTCATTGTACCTCCTGTAGTGTTATGAAATAAAGTAGCCTGTGGCTGAGGTGAAGAGGTGGCTCCCTGGATTCCAGGCATGTTGTTCTGAGGGGAATAAAGAGGAGACTGTTGCATGTCTTGTTGGTTTATACTGGTCTGCAGTGCAGACATGGATGCTGGAGAGAGGAAGAGTGTTACTTGCTGTTCTTGAGAACTGGGTGACCCTTGAACCAACTGAATCTGAGGAGAGCTATGGAACAAGGAAGTCTGTGATGATTCAGACTGGGTAGGACCTGGGTTCTGAAGTGAGGAAACTGTGGGCTGGTTCTGAAACTGCATGGGCTGCTGCTCTTGATTCATTTGGGCCATATTATTTTGTTGGTGAAAAATGGATTGGTTCTGTTGCTCCTGATTAGCCATTGGATTCTGACTTGGGTTGAATATCATGTTTGGTGGTGGTTGCTTCTGAGATGCCATTGTAGCCATGGTATTTTGGTTACTGAATAAAATGCTCTGCTGCTGTTGCTGCTGCTGCTGCTGCTGCTGCTGTTGCTGCTGTTGCTCCTGAGAAGGAGAGTTATTCTGGATGGCAACTATTGGGTGCTGTGACTGGAAGATTGATCCTTGTTGGTTCTGAGGCATAGGATTAGGAGGAAGGGAGCCCAGGGATACTTGAGGCTGAAATAGACCTTGTTGGGAGGATTGTGCCTGTTCTTGGGAAAGCATAGGGTTCTGCATGTGTGGTATTGGAGCTTGTTGCTGGAAAGCAGCTTGCTGCTCAGTGTTTGAAGTTGACTGAAGTGGAGAAATTGAGTTCTGAGCTGTAAAAAATGAAATCTGTTCTTCTTGGGTTACTGTGTTAGTCTGAAGATTATTTATTGGACTCTGGGAAAGAAATATGTTGGCTGACTGCTGCTCCTGAGACACAGAAGAGCTCTGTAATACAGCCATGGTACTTTGAGAATGAAACATTGGAGTCTGCATTTGTTCAGAGGAGGTTGTAGAAGTCTGGCTGTGGACAATAGGACTTGGACTATGAAAAATAGAACCTGGAGTTTCCTGGGAAAGGTTCTGAGCATCAGCAATAGGATTCTGAGGATGAAAAAGTTGTGCCTGTGAATGAGAAGACTGCTGCAAAAAATTCCCAGATTGGAGTGACATTATCTCATTACCTTGCTGGAATAAACCATTACCTTGTTGCTGGGTACCACTATTCGGAACACTCATCATATTTTTTGTTGATGAAAAAAGGTTAACTTGAGGTTGATTGTCCCCACTATGTTGCATTTGGACCATGGTCTGAAAGACACTGTTTTGAATCTGTTTTGCTTGTGCTCCAGTTTCCTCTCCATCTCCTGAACTTGATGTTTGAAACATGGTAGTGCCAGGGGTTGCAACCTGCTGTGTGGTAGTTGTAGCAGTTTCATTGCCAGAAACTGCAGGAGGAGAAGAAAACAATTCACACTGCATTTGCATATCCTCACTGGTAGGTAATGCACTCATTATATGAGTGGTCTGTTGGTAAACTGGAGACTGCTGAAGGTTTCCATTTGCAGAAGCACTTGAAGGGAACAACTCTGACTGAATCTGAGCAGCTGCCTGGCAGATACTCTGTTGCATTTCCATCACCATTGCAGCTGATGATTCCATTACTTGCTGTTGCTGTTGTTGCTGTTGCTGATTAGATAATGTGTTTTCAGTCTGTGGGTGAACACTTTCAGCTCTTCCAGCTATTAAATTATCTGGTCTTGTATGGACTGTTGGCTCTGTTGAGGAAAACATTCCAGGGCTTACGCTATTTTGAATTTGACTGACTTGTTGAAAGATGTCTGCACTGAGCTGTTCTTGGACATTTTCGTTACCATCTGGAGCAGAAAACAACACTGATGATAATTGCTGCTGTGCCTCTAAAACTTGTTGGACCAAGTCAACATTACCACTGCTGCCACTAGCAGTACTACCTGTAAAATTTCCTGCCTGCAACTGCTGAATTGTATTCTGTAGCTGACTGACGCTATTTGGTGGTGGGAAAATATTTGACGAAATTTGTTGCTGTAAAGTCTGTGCTTGTTCCTGTAGTGGTGACTGCTGCTGTTGCTGTGACGCCTCAGCCAGGTGTGACAAGTTGACCACTGTGCCATCTGACTGTAATACCTCTCTAGATTGAGTTTCTCTTGTCTGAAACGGTGTAGCCTGCTGTAGTAATGCATCACTGTTAGGTAGCTGATTAGAAGCAGATACTGCTGGAAAGCTGCCAGGCTGTGAAATGTCCTGTGTTTGAATAGTTGTCAGGGTCTCTGGGTTGTATGGCTTGGGCTGTATCTGCTGCTGCTTTTCATTTTCAGAAGGTAAGTGGGAAGATGAAGATGATGATGATGAAAAAGATCCATTTCCTGCTATACTTGAAATATTTTCTAATGTTTGTTGAGTTGATCCAACTGTTTTTGTACTCTGAAAAAAAAATCCCCAAAATATGTCTTTATAAATATTAAAGGAATTCATGTGCTACTTCAAAAATTAAAAGCATATGTATGAACAATTTTCTACTCCATTTTTTTTTTTAATAGGTTTAGTGGGTCTCCCTAGTGGTACAAGGGATTAAGTCTCAGTGCTATGATGCTCTTAGCAGCCAGTGTAGCACAAGTTAGATTCCCCAATCAGGGAGCTAGCCCACAAGGAGCAGGAGACCTTCCCTGCTCCCTCCTGCTCCCTTCAGCAGTTTATTTCTGTAGATCTGTCTGTTGTGCTCCCTACTCTGTCTTTAATGAGTCCTCTCACCAACCCCCTCCACACTTCTGGGCTATACTCCAGTTCTTATATGCATAAAGAAATAAAAGAAGCCTAAAAAAAAAAAGAAAGAAAGAAAATAGGTTTAGGACTATGATTCCCAGAGACAATAATTGTTATCATCAGAATTTTTTAAAGTATTATAAACAAAGATAGTCAAACAAAGAAATAGAAAAGCAATAGTTTTTGATTTGCTTTGGATGGTAAGAACATATTAACCCTATGGCTCATGAATCAAATTAATAAATAGCAAATTAAAAAATAATCTTTATTTTTGTAGACCATTAACATTATAGGGCAGGAAGCAAGTGAAAAAAAGGAGGGGGAGTTATAAGAAAAGATTGGGTAACAAAAGGAAATAAAAATGCCTCTAATTTTGAAAATGCTAAACCAGTACTTTCAGCAATACCCAAGATATCCCACATACCTAGCAAATATATTAGTTCTATCCATGACAGAAAATGTATATAGGAAGTCACTATGCAAATTATTTATTAGAATGTAAAAGCATTTATTCTGAAAATTCATTAAGTGCCTCCAAAGATAGACAAGTAGAAAAAGTAAAAAGTATAAACATGGGGAACATGGAAGCAGCCCAAAGGCCCAAAAGTAGATGACTGGATTAGAAAGATGTGGTACATATATACAATGGAATATTACTCAGCAACCAAAAAAGAGAAACACATGTCTTTTGCAGCAACTTGGATGGAGCTGCTTAGTGAGATAAGCCAGAAAGAGAAAGAAAAATACCGGATGGTTTCACTCATAGCAGGAGTATAATGGACCAGGCGAGAAAATAACAAAAATAATGGACAACCATATACCAGAGACATTCTGTGGGGGCGGAGTGGGGAATGGGGTCAAAAATGGGGGGGGAGGGGAAATGCACGGGTCTATGGTGGTGGCACAGGGGTGATTTGGTGATGGGAAACCCGCGGGGATTACAATCGAGATGGAAAAAAAAATGTGCAAAATGATGTAAAAATAAACTTTGTAATAAAAAAAAAAGTATAAACATGGGGAAAAGAAATCAAAGCACTCAAAACACAGCAATTTTTATACCTGAGGTTAAGATGTAAGACACTGCTAGTCACTGTATCTCACCTTAAAAATGGGAGAAGATCTTTTTTCTGCTGTTACTTCCATTGGAGTAACATCTTCACTCTTAATCATACTGCTTGATATGAGTGGCGTAATCAGAGCATTAGGAAGAATATTAACCTTATCTAAGTTACATCCAGTAGTTTTCATTGCTGCATACACATACAAACAGAAAGAAAAGTGCAACATAAATCATCAACAATTTCACCATATAGTATGTTGACTATTAGTTATGACTTAAATATTTATTCATGCTATGATGGTAGCGTGAGATACATAACTGGTATATTAAAATGAAGCTTCCCTATTTTGAGCAGCTTTGGCTTGGCTTGACTCTTGCTATGGGCCTGAGCCTGAAGGTTAAATATCAACAAACTTAAGTATCCCAGGACGTTTCCAAGGTGCTTTGAACAATGTGTAATAACACCAGGATATATTATAGAATACATTTTGGAAATCTCAAATAGGGTAAAGTTGTTCAGTTATAACTATTACATTTTGCTCTTAGCATATGTATGCCTAAAAATATAAAGTCTCAAAACTTTAGAAGGGCTAAAGACTGTTTAAATATTTTTCTCCCTAACAAAATCCAGGCCTTTCATTACAAAATGTCAGCAAATAGATTTGCTTCTTTAAATTAAATAACTCAAGTTTTCCTTTGAAAATTTGATTTGTCAGCTTAACAAATAAACACACTGAACATTTCTAGACAGGACTTTTTTTCTTTTCAGAAATTTAGGAACTATTTTAGGTTTACCAACTAAACTTCCAAAACAAAACTATAAAGTATGTTTTACTTTTTACTATTTCCATTTTTAGGAGTGGTTACAGATTTATTCTAACAAGAAGAAATATATTGCAGATCTGTCATATTTGATCACTCGGTGATATTTGCTTTATTTCCCTGATACCTTTTCTTCCTTCTTTTTCATCTACTTGAGTCTGTCATTGGCTTAGTGGAGCCTATGATATTGTGAATGAATGTTCTCTGTACTGAACACAGTCAAATTCTGATCTAAAGTTTTACAACTTTGAAAACCTGTAAAAAGAAATAGATTCCCCAAACTTTCTGAAAATAGTCCCAAGAAACTGTTAACAATATTTATACCATATACTTCATCTTATTTAACTAGTATTACTTTTGTATGAGGGATACACAGTTGGGTAAAACTAGAAATGATCATAATTATTTTGACACTAGCCCGTGTAGCTATCTTCCCTACTTCCCATATTGCCAAAACCTCTCTAAGAAATCAGAAAATTCAGAGTAAAAACTTTCAATATCTGGCCATGACATCACAATTGATCATCAAATTCTAAATTTTATAGTAACTGATGGCTATTTAGAAGAATGTTACTTGGAGTAGTATTGCTATAACAAAAATTTAAAGTTATTTGTATTGTTCTGTTAATTACTGAACACATCTAATTAGGCCCCCAGATAGCATCTTGGTATTGTACTAAAGAAGTCATAAAAATAAGCCAACTGTTAAAGAAAATTTATGGTACTATAAGCTATTGTGTTTTTAAATTCATCATAATCTCTAATTATTGGTAATATATTTAAATGAAAAAAAAATTATACAAATAGAGATTAGTATATTATTTGATTTTACTTTGTATCTTCATAAAATGATTTTACCTAGATCTCTCTGATGGTACAGGAGTTAAGTCTCAGCACTATCAAGCTATCATCAGCAGGGAGCTAACCCACATATTGTGCAGCAGACCTCTTTTGTTTCACCTGCCCTGCCGTTCCCCTTAGCAGTATATTTCAGTAGATCTGTCTGTTCTGCTTTCTACTGTCCCTGGTGAATCCTCTCACGCCTCCCACCCACCCTCTGGCCAACATCCCAGCTCTTGTATGCATAACTCTAAAAAAAAAATTATTTCAACCATGATCAACTTTTATCTGTCAAAGAGCTGAATTGTGTTTTTTAATCCATTTTTTGACTTATGTTTTCATCATTATCACTAAATCATTTTATTACTAAAAATTTACCAAAACATACAAAACCTTTCAATTATAAATTTATAATCTTATGAGAAATTTTACAATGGATCAGATTAGTGTTCTACTAGTTTGGTATTCTATGAAAGCAGCATCAAGGAATTTTGTAAGGCAAGAATAAATTCATCAATGTTGACAAAATAGAGATCTTTCTTTAATAATTAGTTAATTGTATTACTTATATAACAAACATGGTTTGAATTATTGTTCTCAACCTATTAATTTGATAAGTGATCTTTGGCAAATTAACCAACCTTTCTGGAAACTTGTTTCCTATTTTATGAAATAAGAAAAATACCTCCTAAGAGTTTAGAGTACTAAATGTCATTCTGCCATTAAAGAGCTTAAAATATTGCCTGGCACTTAAATATGCTCAATACACATTTAGTTCAGGCTATCCATAGCAGATTTGTAAATTTACCTGTAGTTAAGTATGATAAGCTTAGCAGTTTATTACTAGTATTCAATTCCTCATTGATTGATTCTGATAAGCGTTGATCATAAATTATAGATGCAAGCTATATCAAACACATTATATACGTGAATGCAAAATTTTATTACTGACAATAGAAAAAAAATCACACTATTTGATAAGGAGCATTTGCTATCATGCTTTTTAACTTTATTTTATTAAAGATTTATTTATGCATGCAAGATTTGGGGTACAGCCCAGAAGTACAGGGGTGGGGGTGATGGCATTCACCAGAGACAAGAACAGGGAGCAAAACAGGTGGATCTACTGAAATACACTACTGAGGGGAGCAGAGGGTGAGACAGCAAAGGTTTGCTGTGCCATATGGATTAATGCCCTGGCTAGGGATCAAACTATGCTGCAGTGGCTGCCAACAGTTTCTTCGTTCTGAGACTTAACCCTTTGCTCCAGTAGAGGCCCCCTATTTATTTTTTTTAAGATTTATTTATGCATACAAAACTGCGGTATAGGCCACAGACACAAGGACGGTGAGAGGATTCACCAGAGACAAGAGTGGGGAGCAGAACAGACAGACTGATTAAGTATACTGCTGAGAGAGAAGAAGGTGGGCCAGGAGAGGTCTGCCATGATACGTGGGTCACCTCCCTGGTTGGGGATCAAACTCATGCTGAAGCAGCTATGGCCAGCTTTGTAGTGCTGCGCCTTACCCTGTTGTGCCACCAGGGACGACCTGGGGGCACTATTTTTTCATTTTAAATTTAACCGTAAGTTTCACGACAGAAATGTGTAAGTAAAAGCAGGAGTCATAGGAATAAGTCAATGACCATTATGTAAGTGACAGTTTCATAGCAATGGCATAAAAGTATCAGCACTGTATATCACACCTTTTATTTTTTAAGATTTTTATTTATTTATGCAGAACTGCACCTCTGGTGCAGGCCAGAGGTACAGAAGCCGGTGAGATGATTCACCAGAGACAGAATGGGGAACAGAACAGGCAGAATAATGAAGTACACTGCTGAGGAGAGCAGCAGATGGGCCAGGAGAGGTCTGCCACACCATGTGGATCACCTCCAGGGCTGCGTATTGAACTCACACTGAAGCAGCTATGGCTAGCTTGCAGTGCTGGGCTTTAACCCATTGCACCACCAGGGAGGGCCCTATATTACAGCTTTTTTACAGCTAAGATATAGTAAAAAATGAATCTGGTCTACCATATTCCAACATCTTAAAAGCATATTTCTAGTTTCAGGATTGGCAGGGCACTAAATAAAGATATCAGAAGAACAAACGATAGAAACCTAAAATAACTTTTCAAATGACTACATTACATATTTTGGTACCTTCAGTCTTTTAAGATTGTTATTGTGAATGAAGAGAAATAGCAAGTTGGAAAACAATTCACTACACTTGGTAGTAAAACAAATATTTTACAATAGAGAAAATACCCTAAGTATCTAAATAACAAAGAGAAAAAAATAGTAGGCATTGCTAGAGAAAATATATAGGATCATCTATTAAAATTTTTTAGAAGAATCAACTTGGTACCTTTCATGGCCTCCTCAAAAGAGCAAGGTCTTGCTGGACTAGATATCTCCTTCTTCACATTTATATTCAAAGCACCAGCTGCTGCTATTTAAGGGAAAGAAAGATAATTATATTCATTCAAATTTATTCATCCTAGCAAAATGAGTATCTTAAAATGAGTATCTTTAAATGAAATGTTTTCTCATAAAGCATTATTAAGTTATTTATTTACCAGAAATTCTAGGTTAGAATTAAGATGAGTTTTTATAACCACCACTAGTCTATTCTTTAAAATCACTCAAAGTGGGCAGAAGCATATAATTACTTAACCAACACAAAAATAACAGCAATCAAAAAAAAAAAAAATCCCTCTTGTTGGATATCAGATGGGTAGAAGATTAGTATAAGGCTTTAAAAATGTATCAAATATACTGTGACACTAGTATGAAAAGTTTATCATTCACCCCTAAGTGATTTATATAAAAAATACTGACCCAGAAACAATTAATTAACTGAGCTAAATTAGAAAAAACTATGAAGAACATATTAAATCTATAACATCATGATTTTGGGGGGTTAAATACTGGAGAAAAAACAATCTGCTATTATTAATGGAGAGTAGCTGGGTTTTGATATCTACTAATACTAACTACATCTATGACAACTTTAAATTTAATGGATTAAGGACAGAAATCAATTCCCAATTTAAAATTTCAAATAAACAGGTCCTTACTTAAAATAACAAAGTAAAAATTTTGCTTAGATTTTAACTTCTATTTTTCAATGTACTTATATTATAATCCCTAACTGATTCAAAATGGGAACGAAGATTATTTTCACAATTTCTTATGCTAGGTAAAATAATGTGAATGTTATTCCAACTTTTAGACCATGTACAAAATACCCAGGAAAATTTGGGTGCATAACTACTCTAGACTATCTATGTATGTCGTCTTAGGCCTAGAGAGTACACAGAGCCTGAAAGCACTGGCTGGTGTATCAAGACTTCCAGGTAACAATATGGATACAGGAAAGGAAAACTAAGGATGTTAATCTGAAGTTCCTTTTCTCCCATACTGATATATTCCAGCTTGGAACTCTATGCATCCCCTGAATCCTAAATTCACACCTGCTCTTTTAGACTGTTATCCTTGCCAAACTAGAACAGGATATATTTTATTTAATAATTTGTTAGTTTTACTTCTAACTTTAAAATACTTACACAAGTGGTTTAATAAACATCATTTCTACTCTCACAAATACAAAAGGATGGGCCTAGTTTTATGGGTTATAATTATGCATCATTGAATATTCAAATGTTTAACCATAGTCCCCAAAAGAATGACAATATTCATTAGTATATCATGATACAGTGCAATTTTCTATGCCCATTATTTCCTGAAATCATATTTTCTCTCTCATGGGTAACTGAGAATATGATTACATTTCATAAAACATAAAAATGTGAAAATTAGGGGACTACTTTTTAATTGGCTATATCATAAAGGCAGAAATTGTAGCATGACAGTGTGCATTCCATGTGTTTAAACTCACTATCAGAGAGGACTGCTCTCTACATTGACACAAAATATGAGGGGGAAACTTTTACAGAATAAAGTTAATGATTCCTTAATTGTGGTTTAATACAGTCAATTAGGAAACTTAAAAGCTGTTTTATTTGGCAACTAATCAAAAGGAAATTTCTTTTTTGTCTTATAATATTTTATTATTATGAGTAGACTTTATGTTTCAAAGTGGTTTTAGATATACAGAAAAACAAAGAGTACAAATTTCACATATACTTTCCTACAATTAGTTTCCCTCCATTGTTAAAATCTTAGGGACAGTTGCTACAGTTAATAAATATTGTTATATTAACAAAAGTCCACAATTCATCCAAATATTCTTAATTTTGATGTAATTAGTTCTCTGTCCCAGAATTCCACTAATTATGATACATTTAGCAGTTTTATTTCCCTCTGATTTTTCTTGTTTGTGATTACTTCCTGTGATTATCGGTAAAATATATGGCAGAATTGGAATTTGTCCTGTTTTTTCAAAAGGAAATTTTCAGCTTTTACCACTAAGAAATGAGGATTCTTAGTGCTGATATCAAAGCATTTCAAATTCATGAAGTTCTCTTTTCATAAAGCTCTTTTTAATAAAAACAAGTAACAAAACCTCAGTATTATCATGATGCATCTATGTACTTCCCTCTTCTCTTCCCACAAGATATATTACTAAAATACTTTAACTGTTATTAACTATATTTAATTATTTGCTTAAGTATAGTTTTAAGTTTAAACTTTCTTGGATTTTTGTGACATTCCTCAAAAAAAAAAATCAAATATTTGATCTCTGAGCATAAAGCATTCTTTTCCATTTTTGTTGAAAACAGTATATCCTAAACTTCAGTTTTTCTGTTTGAAAGTTTTACTTGTAATCTTGTATTCTGGAAGAAACACTAAGATTTCTTTGGTGTTATGCTATGGCATACTTTTGTATCAAATTGGTAGAAAATAACCAATATGTAAAATTAAGATATGATTTAAAAAAGAGGTACAATTTTAAGTGTCATAAGGTTAAGTATCAAAACTAAACAATTATAAAAATTTAGAGTGCTTCTAAACTTCTAACATTTTAACTGCTCTTACTGTTTCAGATTCTAAAGTACCTAATTTACCTAAGTGCTTAAAATTGTACTTAAAATATTTATTTACCAGCAGTCTTTGATTTTTTTAATTGTACATCAGAATATATTAGAAACACATAGGTTCTATGTTACTTTACCCACCTATCACTTCAAGCTTATTTCTTTCCTCTCCCAAAATGCGTCCCATAAGGAAGTCAGATTAAACTATCAGTAGTTTTGTGAAATTGTCACTGTCATCTCCCTACACATAAGAGATATGCAGTAAACGGCATTCTTACTAAGGAGTATTGTATGGTAACTCTGGAAAATCTAACTTCAGAACATTCTGAATTTTCTTTTATTAGAAGAGCACGTAAGACAGAAATGATCCCTTAATATACTTGTAAAAGTAGTATTTTGAGGGCTACCTTTTTAGGGAATAATGCTGTCTCCAAAACAAAAACAAAACAAAATCCACTAGTATTAATTTATCTTGCTAAATAAACTGTTGTTGGTTGTCTGGTCTTCGTAGCACTCTAAAGTACTATAAATTAATTATTCATTTTTGTTTGGATTTTTTATTTTGGCATACCTGGGTCTGGAGTGTAAGTGAATGACTGAACATCATGAGATCTTCCAGCATTGGTCACTACGTATATTCCCACTGACACAGGCAAAGTTATATGCTGGTCATGATATGGAGGAACCTTCACAATAAGATGATTCTAATTTAAAGAAAATTATAAGATTAAGAAAAGAAGCAATGCTTACAATAAAAATACTGAATTAACAATTATGATTTGCTGTAAAGTTTTTAAAAATCATATCAGAAACAAAAAGGAGCATTTTCAGGTTCATAAGCATCAGGACATTAATCATAATTTAAGACTGTGCTTAAGTTAAAATAAATGTTCTACAAATTACAATTTTTTTTTTTGGTTAAGATTTATTTTATACACTTATGCATACAATGGTTGGGGTGTAGACCAGAGGTACAGGGTAGTGGTGATGAGAGGATTCACCAGAGCTAAGAGTGGAGAGAAGAACAAGAGGACTGACAAATACAGTACTAAGGGGAGTAGCGGGTGAGACAGGAGGCCTGTTGCACCATGTGGTTCACCTTCCTGGCCAAAGATGGAGCTCATACTGCAGTCCCTGAATAGTGCTGAGACTTAACCCCTTGTGCCACCAGAGAGGCACAATTACAATTTTAACAGGATTGCAATTTTAAGATTACATTTGTTGTTCTCTCCCACTGGAATATTCTTACTTTTCCTCTTCAAGTCTTATTCAAATGACATCTCAGAGAAGCTTTCTCTGACTATCCTATTTAAAATAATGCCCCTCTCACCTGAAGATATAATCTTGTTTAATTCTACAAAGCATTTATCACCACCACCTGATACCTGCTTGCTTATTTCTTTTGTCTCTTTTCATCCACAAGAATATATGTATTATGAAAATCTAAGATGCATTCTTATTTCCTCTATAAAGCACCTTACAGAAAATAAACTCAAATATATTTGCTAAACAAAATAAACAAGAGCCCACCAAGTACAATATCAACTACCATGTTTTACACAACTTTAACTGTGAAAGACTTTACAACTGTTCACTACTTCCTAACTACTGTAATTCTCTCTTAAAGTAAAACAGGGTTTAGTTTACCCAAACCCCACATATCAGAGTTATTTTTTTATTAGAACAGAGGCAGAAGCATACATGTAAGAAAATGTTTTACCAGTATTTGTTCAATGGAACTACATCTTCCTGGAAGAGAATTTGAAACATATTTGAATTTTAGTTACACTATACCTGGTTGACTCAGTTGAACAGAAATGTGATAAATGAGACCCAGATTAAGGCTTCAATTTCTAAGACCTCACTTTGTTTTTGAGAGATATTAAAATAGTCTTGGAAACAGTCACATCATAAATAGCTTCTGATTCATGGCATTAACAGAATGCTTCCTAATCCCAGTTAGCCATCTCAAAAAAATTATGCTCGTAAATCAGGTAGGAAAACATATAAATGTGTGTACATTCAAAGGTACCGGGGGACAAAAATATAAAAACATATAATTATACATTAGGGCCTCCAAAAACACATCTGTGTTCCAAGTTTTTTAACTTTTAAAAAACAAGAGGTTTTAGCCCTCCCTGGTGGCACAGAGGGTTAAAGCACAGCCCTAAGAAGCTAAAGCCACTTCAACATGACTTCGATCCCTACCCCGAAGGCGACCCCATGGCACGCGACCCCATGGCACGGCAGACCTTTCCTGACCCGCTCGCTGCTCCCCTCAGCAGTGTACTTCCTCAGTCGGCCTGTTCTGCTCCCCACTCAGTCTCTGGTGAATCCTCTCACCATCCTCTGGCCTGTACCCCCGTTCTGTATGCATAAATAAATACATCTTAAAAAAAAAAAGTTTTTTTTGGAGGGGTGCCCTCCCTGGTGGCACAACGGGTTTAAGCACAGCACTATGGAGCTATCACAGCCACTGTAGCACGAGTTCAATCTCCAGCCAGGGAGCTGAACCACATGGCGCTAAGACCTCTACTGACCCACCTCACTGCTCCCCTCAGCAGTGTACCGCCTCATCAATATGCCCGTACTGCTTCCCACACTGTCTCTGGTGAATCCTCTCACTTTCTGCACCTCTGGCTTGTACTCCAGTTCTATATGCATAAAAAAATAAATCTTTTTTAAAAAAACAAGAGTTCTTGGGCCCTCCCTGGTGGCGCAGTGGGTTAGAGCACAGCACTGAGAATCTAAAGCCGCTTCCTCATGAGTTCGATTCCCGCCTGCCCCGGAGGTGACCACATGGCGTGGCAGACCTCTCCTGACCCGCCCGCTGCTCCCCTCAGCAGTGTATTTCGTTGATCTGCCTGTTCTGCACTCCACTCTGACTCTGGTGAATCCTCTCACCCTCCACATCTCTGGCCTGTATCCCAGTTCTGTATGCACAAATAAAATAAAATCTTTAAAAAAAAAAAAAAACAAGAGTTCTTGAATCTTACCTACCTTTATTTATTTAACTACGCCACTAAGCAGTCTTACCTACACAAGGAGAAGTTGAATGGAGGGGATTGTAAAGCATGTTGCCAGTATTAAAATTATTTTGCAAACTGTAAATGAAATTATTCTTCTAAATAAAAATCTTCTGTTTCCTGGTAATAAGTAATAGAATTAATATCTAAAAACCAAGAGCCTATTTTATAAAAGACTCTTTTACTTTTGAAAAGTATATTTAAGCAAGCTGACATCTTAAAAAAAAAAAAAAAAAAAAAAAACAGGCCCTCCCTGGTGGCGCAGCCAGTTAAAGCACAGCACTAAGCTGTTAAAGCCACTTCCGCATGAGTTCGATTCCCGCCTGCCCCAGAGGTGACCACATGGCCCGGCAGACCTCTCCTGACCTGCCTGCTGCTCCCCTCAGCAGTGTACTTCATCGATCTGCCTGTTCTGCTCCCCACTCTGTCTCTGGTGAAGCCTCTCGCTGCCCCTGAGCCTCTGGCCTGTACCCCAGTTCTGTATGCACAAATTAGTAAATCTTTAAAACAAAACAAAAAAAGAACCAATTTTGTTAAGAATTCTTCAAATTTCCCCAACTCATTTGAATTAAAAATTAAGTAAATTATGAGCAGTGATAGAAAGTTGCCTGTAAAGAAAATTAAGAGCAATTAACTACTACTGAGCCAGTAGCCAATAGTGTATATATACACATAACACACAAAGTTTTGGGAGGACTTTGGTGCAAGTAGTATTCTCTGGTGTAAAGAGAAAAGAATATCTATTGTAATTGCTTTGAAAAATAAGTTTACATTCAAAATTTTCTTTTTTATAGCAGGTAGTCTTCCTCAAAGTTTATAAGCAATAGTGCTAGATATTTTTTACTCTCTTAAGTGACAATTTATTACTGAAATAGTTGGGAATACATATGTGTATGCATATGTGTATATGTATGTATTTGAATACACATACACAATCCCAACAGGAGCAGTTTGAAAACACACAACCACTAAACTCTCAAATCTTTGTTTAGTGTAGTTATTCCCACAAATTCTGAGAATCTTCTTGGCATTTATTTTAAAAAATTTCATTGCATATTTATATATAAAATTCCATCTTCTTTAAAGCTCCTCTTCACTGTTTTTTAAAAGATTTATTTATTTATGCATACAGTACATGCCAGAAGTTTAGGGGCGGTAAAAGGATTCAATAGGCTCAAGATTAAGAAATGACAATCTATACAATTTTTATATCTGACACATTAATGCCTGTTTCATGTTTTATAAACATGCTATTCATAATTAAACTACCTCTAATATACCTGTGTTAAGTTTTAGTTCCCTTTACAAATTATTTCCACATTTTAAGCTGTTAAAATTTCTTGCTTTCTTTCAAAACCAAATTCTCTTACTCTCTGTATCAAACACACACAGTTTGACTATCTGTATTTTCCATAGATATTTAATAGAAAATTAAAATTATATAGAATTCGTCTAAAGTGATTTAAAATGGGATAACATGTCCCATTTTAATGAGACATCTAATGGTCTTGACTAGAAGAGGCAAATATCCTATCTCATACTTGTTATATAACTGGGAAAGTTGAGTATATAGTGAGTAAATTCTGGGGTTGCAAATGAATAGCAATTAGAATTATTCATAACTGCAAGTTGCAAAATGTTCTTCAATTTCTACAATGCCACCTTCTGAGTATTTTTTACTACTTAAGGTCCTTTCAACTTTTCTGTATAGAACTGATATTTCTTTATTGAAAAGTTGCAGTGTTTTTCCTTTTTTTAAATAACAAGATTTTTATAGTTCAGCTGACTACATTAAAACATTTCCCAGAAAGCCTCTTAGAGGGAAAAAAAAAAACCAGAAAATTAAGAATGCAACTATAGAAGTAATGAAAGATTTTATTATGATTTAGTTTATTTACATACTTGCTTGCAAAACAACCTATAGATATAGCCACCAAATATGGACATAATTTCATTCCATTCCACCACATATTTTTATTGATTATTCTTCTCTGTTAATCTATTATAGCTGGCATAACTGTGCTAAAAAAAAAGTGTTTCAAAAATATAACTACCCCGTGCCTCAAAGGTAAAGAAAGAAGGTTGGAAGGAGAGTGGGAGAGTGAGTCAGAGAAGGAAGAAGAAGTAAAGAGACAGAATAGAAGCAGCGGTAGACAGAAAGTGAGGAGTGAACTTAATAATTTCTATATTGTTGTGGCCATTTTATTAATATTTTGTATAATTTGTAAGTCAATTCTTTCAGTCTCCAGAAATAGTTTTCTCATCTATAAAACTACATCATAGAATAAAGTGAGGAATAACAATTATAATAGAATCTTTACTAACAAAAGTTTATGTTAAACAAAACAAAACATGTTTGTAGCATACACAAGTATTACATGGATATTTAAGCTGCAGTCAGGACCAAAATGTTAGGCATATAAAAACTTAGTAAAGAAATAACTATCTGATGGTTTAACTTATAGGAGGAATGTAGCGGAACCAAACAAGGAATCAGGAAAAAAAATTATGATAAAATAAAAAACAAAATTAAAAGGCAACTATAAATTAGAGGTATACTACAGGGAAGGGAAAGAGGTAAAAAGGGGGAGGAAAGAGCACAAGGGACTATGGTGATGGGGCATGGGAATTTTATGGGACAAAAAGAAGAATAAGGTAAACTATATTTAAAAAAAAAAACCAAAAACTAAAAAACAAACAAACAAACAAACAAAAACTTGGTACCTGCCAGGTGGCACAATGGGTTAAAGCATAGCATTATGAAGCTATTGCAGCCACTGTCACACAAGGTCAATCCCCAGCCAGGACCCACATGGCACTAAGACCTTTCCTGATCCACCCACTGCTCCCCTCAGCAGTAAATTTTGGTTAAGCTGACTGTTCTACTCTCCACTGTTTCTGTCTCCCCACCCTGCACCTCTAGTCTGTACCCCAGTTCTTTTATGCCTAAATAAATAAATCTTAAAAAAACAAAAGCCAACAACTTAGTGGAAATTAAAGTTTTCTATGTCCTCAGAAGGAAGGATAAAGGATCTCAGATCCTACAGAGTTTTTTTTTTTTAAAGTGAATAAAGTGAACCAAAAGATTTCTCATGAGTTACCTTACTAAGTGCTTGGTATTATTAGGAACACAGAACTGAGTCACAAGTGGAAAGTACTATTGGTTCATGGGAACTGATAATGTTCTGATGAGTAAGTTATATTACAAGTCATAAAATGTGAGAATTAGAAGGAGCTTCAAATAATCTAGTAAAAAAAAGCTTAGTTTATTAGAAAATTAGGGCACAAAGGAAAACTGTCTTACTTCAGGGCTATAGGGAGGTGTTCTCCAGGCATTTGGAATGTCCTGTACAATAAAGGTGTCTATGTTTTAGCTGAGGGCTTTAGAAATTGGAGAGTTTAACAATACAATATTTAAAGAAGGCTTTGGAACATACCATATCAGTTCTGACCTCTGTTCGAACTAGTCTATAGAGGTCAGTTGCACAGGCAGTATGTGATGTAAGTCCAAATAAAATACTCTGTCTATATACTCAGTGTACCATCACACAATGATGTTCTGAGAAGGTATGTTATCCCTGAGGTTAACAGAGGCTTCACCTCTGGGAATCCTTCCAAACATTTCTCCATGCATCTTGCCCTTCAGCAGGTCCTGTTTTCTATCTTTTTGCTATAGAAAACCTGAAGTGGTTAAGCACAGTGCTTTCCTAAGTTCTATTAGCTGTTCTAGCAAAATCTGAGGAGGTAGTGGAAATCTTTGAATTTGAAACCAACTGTTACAAAAGTAAGACCAGCCTAGAAACTCCTTATTTTGTGGTTGGAATATGCACTCTAAAGTGGGAGCAGCTTTAGGGAGCAATGTGATCTAACCTTTGACTTTGATAAAATATTGGATATACTGGATACATAATGTAATTAATTTTTAAGAAAAGTTTAAACACAAAGGAATAAAGACCAAACAAACCCAAAGGAATTATTAACATTTTGATAAACTATTATCGATTCTCCCATTTTTGCTTCTTTTGTCTTCCTATTTGCTTTTATGTACTCTTTTCAATCCCATCAGCATTTTATGTTAAGTTTTAGGCTTTGGCAATATACTAGCTTAATGCAATTCTCCTAAAAAAAATCAATAGCACATTTCAAAGAACTGGAACAAATACTATTAAAATTTTTATGTAGTCACAAAATACCCCAAATAACAAAAGCAATCTTGACAAAAGAGAATGGACGTATCACTCTTACAGATCTCAAGTTCTACTATAAGGCCACAATAATTAAAACAGCCTGGTATTGTAACAAAAACAGACACATAGACCAAAGAAACAGAATTGAGAGCGCAGAAATAAACCCACATGAAAAAATATTCACAATTACTTATTATTAGAGGAATGTAAATGAAGACCACCATGAGATATCATCTCACACCTCTGAGAATAGCTCGTACTGAAAAGACTAGAAACAAAAATGTTGGTAAAGATGTAGAGAAAAAGGCACCGTCTTACACTGCTGGTAAGAATGCAAATTGGCCCAGCCCTTATGGAAAGCAGTATAGAGGTGTCTCAAAACATTAAACGTGGAGCTGCTTTTTGACCCAGTAATTCCATTCCTACTCATCTACATAAAAAAAGTAAAAAACTCTAGTATGAAAGGAAACCTATTTACTATAGCTAAATTATGGAAACCTAATTGTGGATCAAGAAGATGTGGTATGTATACTCAAGTGGAGTACTACTCAGTCTGAAAAGATAAACATGCCACTTGCAGCAACATGGATGAAGCTTGAAGGGATAACACTAAAGCAAAAGTAAGTCAGAAGGAGACATAAATACTAAGTAAGTGTTACTAATATGTGGAATAGAAAGTAACTAAACTAACAGATAAAGGCAAACTGAAAAACTAACCATGATGGCTGGCTACAGTACAGAAACAGCAGTTGGGGGAGAGGGGAGGGAAAAGGAGAGAAAAGAACAAAGAGGAAAAGAAGCACAATGTTCTATGGTAGTAAAATATGGATGAGTTGGTGGTGGGTGTATTATAGTGATAATATCTGATTGGGCTGCTGCCCCAACATACCTCTGTTAAAAAGAAATAGATTACATTTTAATATAAATTAAAAAATAAGTTTTAGGTTTTGGGTAATTTATACATTAGTTGTTTC